GCAAGGGGCCGATCCTGCGATTGGAGGGTGATGGGGGTCAACGCCTGAGGGCTCCCAGTATGTGAGAGGGGGCAGGCTGGGCTGAGGGACACTCCCCCCCCCCCGAGTGCATGAATTTCGTGCACCGGGCCCCTAGTATATACATATACATATACACATACACACACACACACACACACACACATATATATATATATATATATACCTAATTCTCACTAGAGGATATGTTTTTATTGATTTTTGAGAGAGAGAAAGAAACAGTGAAACATTGATTGGTTGCCTCCTGTTTGAGTCTGGACCAGGGGTTGAACCTAAAACCTAGATATGTGCCCTGACTGGAGTCTAACCTGAGACATTTTGGTGTTCGGGATGATGCTCCAACCAATTGAGCCACCCTGCCAGGGCAGGAGTTGCCATATTTTGTAATGTTTTAAGTCTTTCATGTTATGGGGTGAATGCAGAATCACTTTATTGTACACATCAAACTTTATGCTTAAACATTTTTGGGGAAAACATAAGCCTGGCATGACCTCAATCAATAATAGAGGGGGGAAGAAACCAAAGGAACTGAACACAAATTTAGTAATTCCTCTTAGTATATGCCTCACAAATAACTGTTGGTTGTCATTATAAACAAGACCTTTAAGGATGTGTATGAAGTGCAACACAGTTGGTTGTTATGTTGTGGAAATCATGAATATCCACCCATGAAGTGAAGTGTGAAAATAAAATGATCCTAACTTGCACCTTAAGTACTTTAGTACATTGTGGCCTGGGCAGAATTTCCAGGGACAGCACCATCAACGAGTTTGTAAGTGCCATATATCACACCGCTTAGATGGGAGTGTGACTGGCAAAGTGTATTAAATGCCTCAAAAAGTGCTCCACTGATGGAGACATGGGTTTCAAAGACCCTTACAAAATGTCTGAATACAACTTCATGGCATGTGATAGTGGGAGAGAGCAGCATTTCTAAATTTAACAAATCACCTTATATAATTTATAATTTTAAATAAGTACATGTAAGTAACAAATATTAGAAGGAAACATTTGAGAGTTTTATCTTTACTATTAAAAGTTTATATACTCAAGTTGTCAAAAATACTTTTAATCATAAATATGGGTATTTTCTTTATATTTGAAGTCAATTTATTTTCAGGCAGATAAGACATTTACCAAGCAAACTATTGTGATTGGAAGCAGCAATCCTGGTGTAAGAAATAAAAACAATCCCTGTCCTGATAAAGTTTATAACGTTCACATACCTAATAAAGGTTCTAGTTTGGGTTATCCAGGGAAATCTATTTTGCTTACCTTTTTGAGAGTTGTAATCCAGTTTCTGCCAGAGGTTGCACAAAATTGGCAAACTGAGAGCTATTCTCAGATGCGCTATTCCCCAGAAGATATCTACTATATATTCCCTAAAAGTAAATTAACACAGAGCAATTAAAATCATTGAAAAGTACTATTCAGCTATCCAGTCTTTGCAGTTTCCCAGCTATGTGAGTCACTACACTCACAAGATACCAAGATATAAATGATATTATCATTTCTATTAATTTACATAAAGGAATAATTATTACTCCCCCCCCCCACACTTAAATTAAAGAGCCATACTTGTATCATGTGGTTAATACACTCTTACACTAATAGATTGAAACTGGGAATCAAACCAAACTTGAAAATGAGCTCAGCAGTTACCAAAGGTACAAAATTGGCAAGTTATATTACTTCTAAAAGTCAGTGCTTTCCCTTCATAGTGGGAGAAAAACCAAAAGAAACCAAAACAAAATGAAAACTATAAAACTGAAAAGAAGGCAATGAGATGACCTCTAAGAATATTTTATATAATTTTTGGGACCCCTATACCTCCTTTGAACAGTGTTAGCTGAATGCTAACCAGTTTTTTCTTTCTTAATTCTCCATGTTCTGTGTTTCCAACATAATACTCTCCTCTCCCCACCAAAACATAGTTAACTGAATTTCATTACTTTATTTTTTATATAATTCTTATATTTTAAAAATAAGTACATTTTTAGAATCGATTTAGGAGAGGAAGGGAAAGGGAGAAAGAGAGAGAGAAATCAATGATGAGGGAGAATCATCTGTTGGCTGCTTCCTGCATACCCCATACTGGGGATTGAGCCTAGAAACCTGGGCATGTGCCCTGACTAGAGGAATCTAACTGTGACCTTGTGATTCATAGGTCGACGCTCAACCACTGAGCCACCCTGGCTGGGAAGTATATAATTCTTTATGTAATAAAACACTAACAGTTTCTCCATTATTTCCAATTTCACATTTATAGTTATAATGAAACTAGAGGCCCAATGCACAAAATTCATGCACGGGTGAGGTCCCTAGGCCTGGCTGGCAATCAAAGCGTGAGCATTTGGCGTGGAAGGGTAGGTCTCAGCTGATCTCTGGACCCTGGACAGCACCTGGGCCTCCGGATGCCCTCCTCCACCTGAGTCATGGTGCTCAAGTCCCCACACGGAGATGCGATGAGCACAGCCAGACACCATGGGCTGGGGTGCATCATGGGCCTCTGGGCCAACCAAGCATCGCCGATGCCTGCCATGTTCCATGCCACCCCTTGGTGGTTAGCACATGTCATAGTGAGCAATCGAGTCTGTCTGCCTGCCTAATCACCCCAACCCCTCTGCCTACCTGATCACCCCTAACCACTCTGCCTGCCTGCCTGATTGCCTCTTATTGATTGCCTGCCTGCCTACCTGATCACCTCTAACTGCCTCTGCCTGTCTGCCTGATCACCCCTAACCACTCTGCCTGCCTAATCGCTCCTAACTGCCTCTGCCTTCCTGATCACCCCTAACCACTCTGCCTGCCTGATCACCCCTAACTGTTCGCCTGCCTGCCTGACTGCCCCTAATTGTTCACCTGTCTGCCTGCCTGATTGCCCCTAACCACTTTGTCTGCCTACCTAATCACCCCTAACTGCTTCTGCCTTGGCCCCTGCCATGGTAACTTCATCCAGAAAGACATCCAGAATGATGTCTGAAAGGTCGTTTGGCTGTCTGGTGTAGTTAGCATATTATGCTTTTATTATTATAGATTATTGTATTATTTTCCATATGAACTGTAAATCTACTTTTGCCCCATCCTGTATATAATTTATGACATATTAATATCAATCATAACATGTCAAACTTTTATTTGAAATGAAAATCCATTTTAAATTCAAAGTCCATCTGGTATCTGATTTATGGAAACTGACAGATATAGAAACAGCATAAACTCTGTTTTGAGAAACCCATCCAACTTGATTAACTAATATGATTAGTATGATTACAAAATACAGGATGAGATGTAACACAACTATTTCCTTGAAGACAATTTCAGTTGGTTGCGGATAGCATGAACTCTGAAGGATAGAGAGATATAACCATACTTGTCCTTCATCCTTCTTTTCCCATTTTTTTCTTGTTTCTCAAATCTCATTTACCTTTTCTTTCTCCAGTTCCCTAGCCTGTTGGCATTGATGAAGTATTTCAATTTCTTAAATAAACCTTCAATATTCAAAATACATGGAAACTGAATGATAATAAAGATTGCATTTCTTTAGATCAAGCTATAATTTTAAAAATCTGAATTTATGCTCAATTAATCATATAAATATGACATTATTAGAAAATAGAAAAACTTAGTCATCTATTCACTCAAAAATATATATTAAGAGGCTCCTATATGATAGGTACTATGCCAGACTTTGGAAAGCTCAAACTTAATTCTTTCCTCATCATCACCCCTGGTTTATAGTGTGAAGCAGATATCATTAAAATAGTTTAGCCCTTTCCTACATTGGATATTCAGGAAATAGCCAATTCTCACAAACTTTTCTCTTTTTGTTATTATGTCTCTCTCCCTTCCTCCACCTTGTAAGTTTATTATACCAAAAAGTGATAACACATTTTGTTACTCAACTTTTTCCCTCCAAATTGCTATTCTATTAATTCTGGAGTTATATTTTATTAATGTTTGGTATTTGTCATTATGAAAAGCCAATGGTCTAAGCATAAAAAGTATAAAACCCTTGAAGACCAGAAAATGCTGTCAATAGTACATTAATAAATAATGGTGAAACATGTTAAAAACAATTAATTACCTGTGCTATTCCAGCCATTTTAAAACATTCAAGAGCAAGAAAGAAATTCCAATTAGGAAGAATAGAATTAATTCCCCTGCAGTGGCAATATATTGAAATTAGTTCTTCCATTGATGGTATCCCTATAAAAACAGCACGCATTGTAAACTTTAATAAAAATCTCATGGTGAATATTTCAAAATGTAGTAATATTGCATATGTTTATAAAATTACCATTAGTCCATGTAACAAAGCATGTTCAAAATACTGATTTTCAAAAGAATACCACATACAAAGGATTACACATTGTCATAAATTACTAAAAGTAGACTGCTATATTCAGAAAAATCAATAAAGAATAAAATGATTTAGAAACATTTCAAAAACAACTAAAAGCTATTTATCTAAAATTGTAATATAATCCTATTTTTAAGTTATGAGGAATAATAAAGATAATTTTATATTAATAGCAATTTAAGTATCATTATGTTTTCATACCTATGTTTTCTTGAAAATAGCCTTGATTTAATATTGGAAGTGTCCTGGGCCAAACGTAGAACAAGGATAGATGAGCTAAATCTGACAAAGGATGACCAATGGTTGACAGCTCCCAGTCCAGGACAGCTATAACTCGAGACTATAATGAAAAAGAAAACTATTTGGACATATTCAATTGAAAACAACTAAAATAAGAAAATAAGTGGGGGGCTCTTTCCCCCTCCCCACGTAGGAGTCTGTACTTGTTCTTCAATAAATTTCCACCTTTGCTATACCAAAAAGAAAGTGAAACAGAATACATTAAAAATCATATTTTTCATCAAAAGCAAAGCTAAGACTATAGTTCATAGTCTTTACCCACAGTGGTGCATATCATTTATCAACTAATTAGCCTTGCAAGCATGTCAAACCCATGCTCAGACCCAAGTCTTCTGATTCCACTACTGGCCATTGGTTCTCCAGCATTTTACTTTACACAGCCTTAGTATTTCTCCTAATCAGTGGAGGCAAAAACAGTTGAAACTTCCCAATTGGGAATAACTGTTGTAAAGAAGAAATTCTAATAATCTACACTAATAAAAGAGAAATATGTAAATTGGTCATCACTTGGCTACACCCACCAGCCAATCAGGATGAGTATGCAAATTAACCCAACAAAGATGGCGGGTTAATCTGCATATGCAGGCATGGAGCGAAGACTGAAGACTAAAGACTGAAGAGGCTTGGCTTCTCCACTGCGGCTGGAGCGGAGAAACTTCGAGGCTTTGCTTCTCCACTGCGGCCGGACCAAAGGACTGGGTCCTGGGTGCCGGAGGGAAACCAGTGCCGGCAACTAGGGGAAGGAAGGCCTACTGTGCGAATCTTTGTGCAACGGGCCTCTAGTTACTTATAAATGCCATATGTAATTAAGAGTTTGTCTGGTGATGAATCTCAATACATAACAAATATTAGAATCTTATGGCAATAGTAATTTTTAAAATAGGTTATTTCATGGTATAAATACAAAAATATAATTGTTATAAAAGATGCTGTTTGTTTTATGTATACAAAATCTACCATTATATAGCAACATAGAGCAAAATAACAGTCATGTAATTTGGAATCAATAAAACAAAATTTTCTTCATTCTACTTTGGAACGATAAGTTTCAAGGGAATATATATACATATAT